GTAATTGCAAGATAGTTGAAGAGGTCAAAGTATTTTCTAAAGTTTTGAAAAATTGGAACTTATTTAGCCATATTTTAAAGTTTAACAAAAATTTAAGAGAGTTCTGGAAAATACTTTTTTAAGACTATACAGGAAATCTATTTTGGAGCAGTAACTGTAGAAATGTTAACTTGAGAATTAACTTAAGCATTGTAAGCCAACCTTATTATGATGTTTAACAATGGGTTAATCTATTTAACTAATAGGAAGAGTAAGAATATTTGATTCAAGAGTCAAACTAGAGTAAGATTTCTTTGCAATAATTTTGTTTTATTCTGGGGAAAAGTAGAAAAATCAAAACCATGAATTAGAGATTAAATGTTAGATTTGCGTTAGTCACTGTTGCAATCTACCGAAAGTCTCTAAAAATGAGATAAGATACAAGATTTAGTAAATTTAGAATAACGGAGCTTAACATCAGACAAAAGTTTTTTACTTTGCCTTCTTGAAATAATAAAAAGAAAATATGTTCACAAGAGAGGTGCTCTTGGAAAAATGATGAAAAATACAATTAAAGTTTAATGAGGCGACTGCTCAAGATGATGAAATATGTAGAACAGAATGAGGCTTGACTTAAATTGAAGAGTAGAAAGAGTAGAAAAGCTTCCAAACTTTTATTACAGAAAGATTAAAATCTTCCGAAATGCGCTTTATGCATACATAATATTGATATTAACATATATGTTAGCTATTTATTTAGATGCTGACATACAATATTCTTTCATATATATATATATATATATATATATATATATATATATATATATATATATATATATATATATATATATATATATATATATATATAAACTTTAAAATTTATTGGTGTAGTATTTGCTGAAAGAAAAGATGATCAAATGATGATGATGATCATGATCATGATCATAATGATGATGATGAAGATGGTGATGATGACCACAATGGTAATGATGACTATGATGACTATGTTGACTCTAACTATGTTTATATATATACATATATATATATATATATATACAAAATATAACATGAATTTTAAACTAAAAGTATATACTTTAGGATGTATATATGCTTATGCAGCCCCGGTCACAAACCAAGTCCCAGCCCTAGCTATATTTTATCAAACCCAGCCCCGGTCTGGGTCTTGGTCACGGCCACGGTCAGCTATTAACCCCGGTCTCTTACTAACCGTGACATTACATCTTTGATTGTATGTGTTGCAACAATAAGTCGAGAGGCTAAAGATGTCAGCTTAAAGGCTATAACAAAAGAAATCTCCAAAGAAATCGCAGTTCGCTTTAAGGTATTAATAAGTAATGTGACGATAAGGTGAGTTTAAAGAAAAAATACAAGATAAAAGCGTCAGTGAGATTATAGCATAAATCAAACCATGCAAAAGAAAACAAGACGAAACAAAGCAAAAAGGTCAGAGATAATATAAAAACCTGAGAGTAAAGGTAAATAGTTAAAGTTATTTGGACGACGAATCACAAGGAATCTGAGTAAGAGATTGTGAAGTAGAAATATTTTGAGCTTTAATGTTAGAAAGATCAGTGGTGTTAGAGCCACGCCATCCATTGTGGCTGATGGATAAAGAAAAATGGTTCTGTCATTTTGATCAAAATTAACATCAACAGACTGCAGCTATGAAAAGAAGGAAAACAATAAAAAACAAAGAGAAATTTAATTTAGTGAAAAGATCATAAACAGAAGCATATAAAAGATTAGTCACAATGTTGAAAACTAATTTCGCAACAACTAGGTAAATTGAAACCTTAGGATATCATTTTTTTATATTTAAAATTATTAAACATAATACATGTCACTATTGTGATGGTAGTAGTGATGATTTTTATGTTTAATATTTTTATGTGGTAAAACTGCATGACACGCCAAGAAATAAGATTATAGAAAGTGTTTTATAGATACTAAGAAGGTGGCTAATGCGAAATCCTATGAGGTGAGACAAGAAGATCCAGTGTTTATCATACTAGCAGAAAATACTATAACTCGGGTTTACATCTGTCAGCCTAAAAGATAAATAAAATGTGAGAGGTCAAAAGTTTTTGCTTAGAAAGCCTTTAAAAGAGTTTTTAAAAGGCCTATCTTGAGCAGATATTACCTGGATTAAACTTTTTTAGTTTAATCCGGGTAATGTCTGCTCAAGATAAATATTTTTATCAAAACACCATCTCTAACCATTACTCAGCAACGAGCCCCATGAAAGGGTAATTAGAGTTAGAGATAAATTCTCCTAGTCTTTGCATAGAAAAACAAACCCTACAAGGAGCAGAACATTAAGCAGGTTGTATTGGATCACATACTACCCATAGCATGGTAATCATGAAGATCCTGAACCTGACCTTACCTGAAATGCATAATATATTATTAAACTGCATGTTTCATAGTTAAATTAAATTAAATTTTTATCTTTAAAATTAGCTATATTCTTAAGATGGTACTGATGATGATAATGGTTCTAGCATAAATTGCAAACGTTAAATTGGTCTAAGTTAATAAGCATAACTAAAACTATAAGCAGCTGCATTATTTCTCTGACAAAGAACTTTGCTTTCATTGAAAAAATTTGCTGTTTGTTCTAACATCACAAAAAACCAAGCTGCTTTTTTAATAAAATTATAAAATTTAATGAGTAAAGTAAAATTGAGTTCAATCTATTCTGTGACTTTTCAAAAACTAAAAGTTTGTAGTTTAAGTGCAAATTAAACTAAGTGCAAGCAACATTGTATTGTTTGTAAAAGAAAGAAAATAGCACTAAAGTAATAAAGAATGAAATTAAGTTAATGCATGTAACCAGGCGCGGATCCAGCATTTTTTGATGTTTGAGATAACTAACTTACAGACATGGAACAAACTCCAAAAATTTATATGTTTATACCTATGTCAAATAAAGATGATTTGCAAAAACTTGCGATGATTGGAGTCTGGGAACAAAAAAGTCCCATATTTTTGGCCACACAAGCCCCAAACAAGAGAGCAACAAGTTGATAAAATATTTTTTATTCAATTCTTAAGAAAATTTATATTCATCGATAAATTCTAAATTTCATACAATAATCTCTTAATGTTCAAAAACCATGACCTTACAAAATTTGTAACCCCCTCAAATTGAGGGGGATTGAAACTTTGTGCAATCATAATTTTTGAATACTAAGAGATTATTGTATGAAATTCAGAATTTATTGATGAATATAAACTTACTTAAGAATTGTACAAAAAATATTTTATCAACTTATTGCTCTCTTGTTTGGGGCTTGTGTGGCCAAAAATTTGGGGCTTTTTTGTTCTCAGACCAATCATCGCAAGTTTTGGCAAATCATCTTTATTTGACATAAGTATAAACATATAAATTTTTGGAGTTTGTTCCATATCTGGAAGTTAGTTATCTCAAACTTCAAAAAATACTGGATCCGCGCCTGCATGTAACAACATTAACATCTAAAATAGTACATTTATCCAATTTATATATATGAACTATATAATATTTTTTTAAACGTCAAATTATTTCAACTTTTTTACAGAATGTTTCAAGTTGTATTTAACTTGCTAAACATCTGAGAAGTAAGTTATAATTTGCAAAAAAATAATATTAGCTACATTACCATTAATGATTAAAAGAATGGATATAAAATGCTGAGCCCTTGAGTAGACCCTGGATAGTAAATTTCAAATTGAAATGACTTAAATAAAATAAAAAATATTTTTAAAATGTGCAAATGTTTAATCTTAAAATAAAATAAAAAAATGGTTAAATATAATTAAAAAAAAGATTTAAAAAATACAAGAAATTTTAAGAAATAACAAAATTGATTGAGACATTTTTATATCATTTCCATTAACAACCAAAAGCTTAGATATGAAACCATCCAGTGCAGCATATCATGGGTCAGAGACATACACTTTCATATTTTTAAAATCTTTGAAAAAATTTTATTTATATCAACAGAAAACCAATAATCGTTTTCATATTTATTTTGATACATTTTTATACTTGTCCATTGGCCTAAATCTAGTGGAGTAGTAGTGTCTAAATGATAATGAATATGACCATTTATAGCAACATGAATGCAAAGTCTTACAGAGCCATCTTCATGAAACCAAACTCTTGGATTTACATCACAATAAGCTACAAATTCATAACCAAAGGTTAAACGAAGAATATTTCTCAAAGGTGGTATTGATGAAGGTAATGTTTCTTCCATAGATTACAAACGACAAATTGGTCTGAGTTAATAAGTACAACTGTAACTATAAGCAGCTTTATTATTTCTCTGTCAAAGGATTTAAAAACTTGCTGTTTATTCTAACATCACAAAAAACCAAGCTGCTTTTTTAATAAAATTATAAAATTTAATTAGTAAAGTAAAATTGAGGTCAGTCTCTTCTGTGACTTTTGAAAAGATATAAGTTTGTAGATTTTTGCAACATTGTTTAAGCAATTTGAGCAAAACAAAGTTTAAGCAATATTGCATCGTTTGTAACAGAAAGAAAATATAAATTCATTGAACTTTAGCACTAAAGTATTAAAGAATGAAATATATCGAGTTAGTGCGTATAAAAACATCAACATCTGAAATAGAATAGTTATCTAAATATATATATATATGAACTAAAACATGTTTTTTTAACAGTTTATTTTGATTTTTTTACAGAATGTTTTCAAGTTGTATTTAACTTGCTAATTAGTTGAGAAGTTATTTATAAATTGCAGAAAAATAATATTGGCTACGTTGCCATTAATGAATAAAGAATATATATAAAATGTTAGACCCTAGAATGAACCCTGGATAACAATTTTCAAAAAGAAAATTTATGTTTCTCAAGAATGACTGAAATAAAAAAATATTTTTTTTTTAAATGTACTCTTTAAACAAAATAAAAAATGATTGAGCATAATTAAGATAAAAAAATAATAAAACTAAAACTTATAAGAAATAACAAAAGATTTGAAAGACTTATACCATTTCCATTAACAATTAAAAGATTTGATATGAAACCATCTTGTGCAGCATACCAAGGATCAGAGGCATAAACTTTCATACTTTGAAAATCTCGAGCATCAGAGTTTTTCACTTTATGAATGTTTATCCCATTAACATCAATACAGAACCAAAAAACACCTTCATATTTATTTTGATATATCTTAATGCTTGACCATTGGCCTAAATCTAGTGGAGTAGTAGTGTCAAAATGATATTGAATATCACCATTTATAGCTGCATGAATACGAAGTTTTCCGGAGCCATCTCCATGAAACCAAACACCTGGATTCGCATCACCATAAGCTACAAATTCATTACCCAAAGTTAAACGAAGAACATTTTTCCAATTCTTCGAAAATGTCATAGGCTTTACATTAAATGACACAACATACTCTTTTTTTAAAACATTTACAGTTCCAAGTAATGATCCTTGAATTGGTTTGAATTCTTTTATAATGCTGATATATTCTAAGAAAAGATTCAAAGCTCATTTTATTATAATAAATATGCGTAAATTTAAATTAAATATATATAATAATTTACAATATATATAACGATTTATAGTATATATAACAATTTTTAATGTATGTTATAATTTTTAACTTTAATATATATATATATATATATATATACATATATATATATACATATATATATATATATATATATATATATATATATATATATATATATATATATATATATATATATATATATATATATATATATATATATAACTTTAATATTCATTAATATATATAATAATTTAACTTTAATGTTCATAAATATATATAATAATTTAACTTTATTATTTAATAGATATACTTTTGGCATTTCTGCAACATATGTATGAATTGCAGTCCCAGAAGATTTATTCTATATATATATATATATATATATATATATATATATATATATATATATATATATATATATATATATATATATATATATATATATATATATATATATATATATATATATATATATATATATATATATATATATATATATATATATATATATAAAGGTAAAAAGCTAGTTGTCAAATTGGATTCAGCATTATATTTTTTTAAAATCTGTGAAAATAAAAATTTGAATATATCTTAGGAGTTTTACAAGATTCTATACAAGGAACGCTCTTATTCCTATTATATATTAGTGAATTAAGTTATTCTTGCAGGAAATTAGACGCAATCTTGTTTGCAGATAATACAAAATTATTAAATGCCAGGGCCGAGACACGGGTTTCGAAGAGGGGGGGGGGGGCACAATCGTTAATTTTTAAAAATAGATCTTTTTATCTAGAATTTTCTAAAAACAAAAACAAAACATAAAAAAATATGTTTCAGAAAAAAAATTGCCCTTGTCCCCCGGACCCCTGGTGTTGTAGGCCCTAAATGCTCATAATAATATAAAAAACTGTTTAAATCTGTAAATATAGAACTCCAAAGACTTGCTATATTGTTTAGAGCAAACAAATTGTCACTAAACTAAACTAAAACAAAAAGTATAACTTTTTGTATTACTATCATTAACAATTCCTCAAAAACTTCCAAAACTTTGTATTGAGGATTGCGGTATAAAAAGAGAGAACTAAAATTTCTTAGCGTTTTCTTTAAAAAAAATTTATAATGGAGAGATCATATTAAGTATCTGTAAGACAAAATCTCCGAGGTTCTCAGTCAACATATATAAAATTTGCATGACTTAGCATGCTACTTTTTATTAAAATTGCATGGTTTTGCATGCTGTTCCTAAATTGTGTTGCATATTTTTGCATACTTCTTATTAAAAATTTATATACATTTGCATGCTTTTGTTAATATATATAGTGTATGGATTATATAAATTTATAATCCATACACTATATATAAAATTTGGATGCCTTAGCATGCTATATTTTATTAAAATGGCATGGTTTTGCATGCTATTCCTAAATTGTGTTGCATATTTTTGCAAACTTATTCTTAAAAGTTTATATAGATTTGTAGCTTTTGTTAATATATATAGTGTATGGATTATATAAAATAGTATATGTAATTTTTTTAAATCATATTTAATATGAATGAAAACTAAAAATTGATGACTGTAGCATTAATTTTAACATTGTTTTTGAGATTAAAGCTTTTAAGATTAATGCATTTAATGTTTTCGAGATTAAAACATTATTAACAAAATATTATATTAAAGTGTAAGTAAGCTGCTAAATTTTTTTTTTTAAATTTCAAGAAATATCTTTTTTTTTTTTAAATTCTCAAGATGTACTTGTAATTCCCATGTCAAAAATTGTTTGTAAAGTTTGGTATTACTTTGAGTAGTGCTTTTTGCAGTTTTCAATAACTTTTGTCAATAGAAGTTTCTGCTCGGTGAAAAATACATAAAGGGTATGCAAAGCTGACATCTCGATGTCAGCTTTGCATACCCTTTATGTATTAGAAATTAAATAAAATATTTTGTTTAACAAAAGTTCTATTAGTTATGTTTTTATACAGTGACAAAGTTCAAATAATAAAATAAGAAAATATACTAACTTAAATTAAAAAAATGGTGAACAATATACTTTATATTAGTTTAGACAAGTTATAGATCTGTTTTTTGCTGTTGCAAAGGTTTTGCCAGAAACTCTGCTCGGTTTATCTTTACTGATTCATTTTTTTCTAATGTAGTTTGTTTAAGCAAATCAATTTTTTATCTTTGATGAGACTCTTTAGAACAATTAAGTTTCTCGTTATTAAAAAATTCATTATTCCACCTACTTGATTAAGATTATCATTAACTTAAAAATTGTTCAAATATTTCTATTATTTCAACAATTTTTTTTTATTAACTACTTACCACAAAATGTTGTAATATCACTAAACCCAAATTTAGTGTCTCAATTCAATTATAGTTTAATCATTTAATTTGGTACAGTGAGCTTCTAAAAAGTTCTTATTTATATAAAATCCTTTTTTGGGTGTACTGTTGCCATTGCTAAGAGGTAAACCACACTTAAAAAGTGCAAGCAGCTGAAGGAATTTTAGATTGCCCATTTCATCAAATATAGTTCTCATTTTACTTCTATAATTATCTATTCGCTTATATTTGGATGGTATGCTTATATTATTTAGGTAACAAGTACTGAATGCATAAGACCAATATGATGTTTGCTGTTGATCAATAAATGTAGTAGATTTTTTGAATTTATATAAAAGTGTTCTGAGATTCTGATAAAATAACTATTGATCTCTTTATCACTCATTGATTGTTTGGTTAAAAAAATCTCATTTAGATGAAAAACCGGACGAAGTCGTTTTTTCAATACTAAAGCAATTTTTAATGTTAAATAAAATATTGCACTTGTTGCACCTGGATCAATACGCTTTTTTTGATTAAGAAATTGAGCATGTTTTAAAAGAGAAACATGAAAAAGTATATTTTCTTGTAAAAATGATGCAGAAGTAATATAAAACATTTTGCACCCTGTACAAAATGTTTCATCTACTAAACTAGGTAGAGCAGCTCCATGCAACAACAATTAATTTTGGTTCCTAATTCGATTGAACTTAATTTTCTATGGTTTTCAATTTTGCAGAAATCATTAAAATTTCAGACTGTAACTTGAACTCTCCATTATCATTTTTTAACTTTTTGGGGAGAATAAATTTTTGCAATTAATGAGTTTAATAGCTAACACATTGCAGGAAAAAGCATGTGAAATATTAGAGAGTTTGTTTGAAATTGTACTACAAGTGCTTCAAAATCTTGGGCTGAAAAAACGCAAAAACCTAAACATCCTTGAGTCTAAACATTACTGCGCAAAGCTTCAAACTATTTTGTATCTATCGGTTTTAAACAAAGCATTAAAGTTTTTTGGTTTTTGAAGAAATGTTAAAAAATACTCTTTAAGTTTCACTAATGGTTCGAAAACCCTAACTGCAGCATGTATTCCAAAACCCTAACTGCAACATATGTTCCAAAACCCTAACTGCAACATATATTTTATACAAAGCCGTCGCGTTTTTACATGCTTTTAGGCAAACTCAGCTATAAAATTAATTAAATCAACTAAATTAGCATAATTTTCACACCTGGCACTAAACAACTTAAAGAATAATGAATACCAATAGAAATTTCCTCTAAATCAAAGAAAAGCTTTTAATTTTTCTTCTAAAACCAGTATTGATTTTATGAAGGTTACATGTACCAAGCTCAATAAAAATATTGTCAGACTTTTTCTTTAAATTCAGTGATAGATTCATTTCAAAAGCCTTATGAATATTTGACCCCTCCATCCCAACATATAAAAGATATCCAGAATCCAATTCCAAGTCAGTTTCAAATTTAAATAATGGTCTATTAGTTGATTGTAGTCACAATGACCAATAAAAAGAGAACCGCAATACGACGTTACAGTTTCTCCTTTTTTGTTTGATCAATATTGAAGATATCCATTACATTGTTTTTTTTTAATTGTTTAGTTGTTGTCAAACTTAAGAGAAAAAGGTTGTTTTTTTTAATATCAGATTTTAACATACTTTTAGTATAAGGTTCAGTTCCAAATTGTATTTAATATTTAATTTTTGTTTCACCTTGGTTATAACCCTTTGTCACAACAGAATCAGGAAACATAGAGCTTTATCTTGTATTGTTATTTTTTGTTGACTTAAAACTATAAATACAATTGACAACGTGTAAAGCTTGCATAATTTCTGCGTAAGAGATCTGATCCTCTATATGGACAGTCAAATATCCAACATTTGAAAGTATGAAAAATGTGTGACATTAAACTGCTTATGGTTGTTTAATGTTTTACAAGGTTCTTTACTAACTAATTTATACCTTGATCATGTTTTGCAAGTTGACTAATGCCGCTTGCAGATATATAGAAAAGATTTCTCTTAATAAATGCAACGCGCTAAACTTAAATTTTTGTTACCCTCTTGAATCTACTTTCCAAAGATATTTGGTAAGTGGTCTTGCCCATTTAAATGTTTTAGTACTAAATCTAGAAAATTTAAATTAACCAAAATATTTCAAACAAAAAGAAGTTTTGAATAAACCAAATAGTAAAAAGAGTTATGATAAATAAATAAAACGAAAACAATATTAAAACATTTTTTTATTAATAGACGTTTTCTATATAAAAACTACACTTTGGGATCGTCCATACGTTATGTAACGCAAACTTTCACAATACACAAAACAAAAAAGATCAAATATTTTCCCTATTTATAAATATTTTAGCGAATCAAGTTTAATTACAAATTACCGCGTAAAGAGCTTAACATTTCCTACTTCTGTTCTGTAACTTATGGCAGAGTTGTTAACAAGGCAAAAAGTAGCAAGGCCACACGTTACAAGAACAAAGCCATGACCAAGGCCAAGAACAAGGTTAAGATCAAGAGTTTTAAAGTCAAGACCAGGATTAAGAGTTTCAAGGCCAAGACCGACGCAAACATTTCCAAGACCAAAGACTTCAATTT